TATATATATATATATATATATATATATATATATTAATATTTAATATAATAGTAGTTTTCCATCAAATTCTTACACACATATAATTTAGCAGATATTAAAAAAGGAAACTGGAAATGGCACGCTAGTCCTTAGGAACGCGAATAAATGTGTCACAATTTTAGTTACAAATATCTCAGTTCTCGAGTGGTCAATTGCACGAGCAGTTAGATAATATTCCGCTGTACATGCAGCGTAAGTCTCATCAAATTCTCACGAAACTCGTTTCACAACACGACTATCTTAATAGTGCTTTCCGCCGCGCATTTTTCTTAGCGTTATCTGTCCACAAAGAGATCGCTCGTTGATAAATTTTACTTTTAGACACGCACGCGCGAACACACACACACACACACACACACACACACACACACATATATATATATATATATATATATATATATATATATATATATATATATATATATGTATGCATATGAGTCACCTAACGTTAGATTCTAAAATATCTGTCGTTTTTTTACAGGAAAATATGTAGATGAGTCACCTAACGTTAGATTCTAAAATATCTGTCGTTTTTTTACAGGAAAATGTGTAGATGAGTCACCTAACGTTAGATTCTAAAATATCTGTCGTTTTTTTACAGGAAAATATGTAGATGAGTCACCTAACGTTAGATTCTAAAATATCTGTCGTTTTTTTACAGGAAAATGTGTAGATGAGTCACCTAACGTTAGATTCTAAAATATCTGTCGTTTTTTTACAGGAAAATATGTAGATGAGTCACCTAACGTTAGATTCTAAAATATCTGTCGTTTTTTTACAGGAAAATGTGTAGATGAGTCACCTAACGTTAGATTCTAAAATATCTGTCGTTTTTTTACAGGAAAATATGTAGATGAGTCACCTAACGTTAGATTCTAAAATATCTGTCGTTTTTTTACAGGAAAATGTGTAGATGAGTCACCTAACGTTAGATTCTAAAATATCTGTCGTTTTTTTACAGGAAAATATGTAGATGAGTCACCTAACGTTAGATTCTAAAATATCTGTCGTTTTTTTACAGGAAAATGTGTAGATGAGTCACCTAACGTTAGATTCTAAAATATCTGTCGTTTTTTTACAGGAAAATATGTAGATGAGTCACCTAACGTTAGATTCTAAAATATCTGTCGTTTTTTTACAGGAAAATATGTGAGAAATAAATTTTGTGTTTGGAAAGAATAAATATCGTGGTCGGTCAACACTTCCAACCACACGGAGAAAGTATTGCGGTAAAAATTGAAGTTATATTTCTCTTGTTTCTTTTTTGTAAAAAACTGAACTATATGCCGAAGTTCAAAACAATTTCAATCATGAAATTGTAGTACAAATTACTACTAAAGCAATAAATTTGACGAACTATCTGATACATGATATAAAAGTAATTAATGTAATAATTATCGTGATTCAAGTAATTGCAACAATGTTTTAGTAAAAAAGTAATCGTACGTAAAATTTTTACAACAAATATATAATAATTTCAGTCATAATCCTGTATGGTCTAAGATGTATACAGAAATTTTGCAATTTTTACCACATTTTCTCTGTGCACACAATTTATTCCTTACACGAATGCCTATAAATATAAAAAAACGACAGAAATATTTTAGAAAACTTAAAATTAGGCGACTCATGTACATGACTCTGTAGATGTAAAATGTTTAAAAGCCATTGTGTGATATTTTAACAGCATTTTAACAACGTGGGGCTCGTATGACGATTTTTGCTACAGGATTTTGATATTTGTGAAATTTTTGAATGGCACTGTTATTGGCTGTTATGACTAATTATATTTTACACGCGAATACCAGAGAATTAATCATCGCACAAAGTTTACCTCTGGCACAGCTAATCGCCATGAATTCGCATTTGCGGACTTCGTAAGGATTGAAAATGAATTTCCGTGCAAGTCAAACATAGTTCGCATTTTCGACTACTACGTTCACCTATTCCCTTCTTTTTCGTCGAATTCGCTGTTCCGAATTCTTCTACTTCTTTTTTTATTCTTTTTTACCACAGACTCGTTTATCGCGCGGACTCACGAGGGGTATCGACATCTGGTTAAATCGCGCAGGAATTGACCTGCTTCTTTTTTCTGCTTCGCGAAGACGCGCGTCGCTGACACTCAAAGGATTATCGTGGTTGTGTACACCGACAAATTCGAATTTACACCGCGAACACACTTTGCATGTACAGTCGCGCGAATTGGAGCATGTTCTGTTTCGTGCAATCAATTGCCGGTATATTACCGCGATACGTTGCACGTGCAATTTCTGTATTAGATTATGCGATCGTGCCGTGATTAATTGCGAGTCGCAATTGTACCAGCAATTATTGGCAGCCGGCGGAAAACAGGTAGAAATATAACGAGGAAGGAGGGATCGGCCCTGTAAATCGACTTACCTGCGGGTCGCCGACTTCGGACATGCACGATCCACACGCGCTCGGTGCCGATCGATTGGCCGCAAATCTCGATCCTGAAACAGCAAGGACAAGGAGCCGGTTAGACGCTGTTAGGTGCTGCGAATTAGGCTTGTACATACATCAAGGCGATGCACCGTTAGCTGCGCATCACCCCGCGCTGAATTGGGTAGAAGTGAAAAATCGACACTCTCCTCTCGGAAAGCGCCGTGACGGCGACGTTCGTGCAGCGCAAGCAAACTCGCGCGCGATCTCTCCCACCCTCCTCCGACGTCATAATTCGACACGGTCGAAGCAAAAAAGGACGAATGAACCTCAAGCGAACGATTTCGGGCGCATTTCCGGACGTCGTTCTCTGTCGCTTCGCGCGAGATACATATACACAAAATCGTACATATATAGAGGAACATTTACGTGCACTAAGAGAAAAATGTATGATATTTGGAACTATGACATAGTAAAAAGATTATAGTTAGGAATATCTTTTTTATAATAAATGTCACCATAATGTTTGTAATATTTACAATATAAGCATAGTATAACTGACTCATGTAAAACTTTTACCAAGAATTATAATTATTTTAAACAAAAGACATAGTAAGGTAGCAAATATTAAATGGTAAGAAAATTAACTATTTTATATAGTCAATACAATTGGAATATTTGAAAAATATGGGTACATGTAACTATATTCCCAAAGCGTGCTCTACTATACACATAGAGTAATAAGATGGTGACTATAAATGTGTGTTCTACTATATCTTCGTGTTTAGATGAACTATAAATATATGTTTGAGGTCAAAACGAACTATAGTGAGATTATAGTTATTCCAACTATTTTTTTCTCAGTGTGGGTCGTTCAAAAAATAGGTGGCTTTAATCCTTTCGTTACACTAAGAGAAAAATATAGTTGTCTTTGGCGTCAACTATACTCTTTTGTGATTTTAATCACAAAAATAGAAAAACCATTATTTTAGTAAGTGTTATTAGAAAAACGATTTTTCTAATTTTTTTTTTTTTTTTGTTAAAATTACAAAAAAAGTATAGTTGACGCCTAAAGCAACTATATTTTTCTCTCAGTGTACTCTCTTAAAATGAATCAGTGAAACATCACTGAAAACAGTGAATATACACTGAAAGTACTCAATGCCATACTTATAACTGATATCAGTGACTATTTACTGATTCACTTTAAGACAGTATCACACGAAAAAAAAGATTTGATTGAATTAACCAGATATTTGGCCGAATATGAACGATCCAGAAATTCCGATTGAAGTAACCCGGATTCTGTTTAAGTTAACAAGATTTTTGGTAGACTAACCAAACATATCTGATTAAATAACCATGTTTGGTTAGTCTACCAAAAATCTTGTTAACTTAAACCGAATAACAGAATTCGGGTTACTTCAATTGGAATTTCTGGATCGTTCATATTCGACCAGATATTTATTCAACTAAATCTTTTTTTTCCGTGCAATTTTGTTTACTAAAGATACAATCTTCTGTATTACTTTACTTTCACTTCATTAAATACATTAATATAATAGTTACATTAATATATAGTATACATAGTATACATTAATATATAGTTTTAATAGAAAATGTATTCTGAATTGCAAAAAGCTTTTTATTCAATTAAATAAGGTTATTATTAATGGTAAGTTAGATATTGGTAGCGAAAGGATTAATACAGAGATAGCGTGAATTTAACCAAATCTTTATTACTGTATTTCAGAATTATCTTTCATTAAGTTAAATATAACAATATAGAGCGATCTGTCGATCAGTCTTTGTTTGACGGTGCGCTGAAGTGAACGCCTCGAGTGTTTCTGTGCGTTCATTGTTTTGACTGTTCTCTTGTTCTTGAAGTGAAGTGGTAGACCCAAGTTTCATTGGCGGTTATGAATCGATGCTAAAGGTCCTTCAGATCGCAGCGAAATCATGCCAAAAGGTGCGAGGAACAATGAAACTGTTCGGTTCAGTCGTTGCTGGTGTGACCAAAAGCCGCTCCTAGAGTTCACTTTGGGGCTTTATCCATTACACTAATCACATTGATCGACAGATCACTTTACACTGTCACGCTTAACCCATTAAAGGATGGCTCTGAAATATAGTCATAAAGATTTAACCACAAATCCGCGTTATCTCTGTGTCAGACCACGTGCTTTCTGAACGGAAGAGCAGAAAACAGAAAGTCAGAAGGCAGTCAGAACTGGTAGAGAAGCAGAGACTGTCGACTACCAACTGGCCACCAGCACGAATTCCGATTGGCTTTTCTGCTTTCCACTTTTCCGCCGAGCTGCGAATCCTCCCTTAGAGTTGCGCCCACTCATTTACGTTACATCGTTTAATCTCTGGCCAATTCTTTGTGTTAACAGTCGTAAAGCGCTTCGCCTCCGAGCGCTCGCTTCGACATAAATCCCACCCGTTAATTGCGCCGTACGCTAGCGCGAGTAATTTCAACGCTCGCTCGCTCGCTCTCACAGCCGGAAGCGGCCTGACGAAATAATATTCCGGCTAAATGGCGGCTCGTGAATCCCGAGTCCGAATGCGCGATAAAACCAATGCCGGCAACGTGTTTACACTTTTACGAGGTGTCAGCGAAGTGCCAGCCGCGAGTTGCGCTCGCGACATCATCAACTTATACGACGCCCTTAACCCTTGCCGCAGCGCACCGGATTATTAATCCGCCATCTTTTCGGTCGTTTGTGACCGCGGGCGTGTGCCGATTTTATTATTGCCCCGCGAAATCTCGAGGGAGAGTGGGAATTACACACGTAATAATAACGCGAGTACTGTCTCTAAATTTCCCTTGGAGCGAAATTCCACTCGGAAAGTGGAATGGCCATCGAGTCACTCGAATTCGAGTGGATTTTCATTCGGAATCGTCGCGAGTGGATACACTGAGGGAAAACATTGTTTAAAAGATAAACTATATGTATTCACAGTGTAGGTACTAATGACATATCTATTTATACACTAATACCATATAATTTTACACTGAGAGATATTTCTCAAATGAGAAAACATTTTCCTAAAACCATAGTTAGAACCATAGCCACAAAAACAATTTACTTAAACATGATTTAAACATGTTATTAGTAACTATCGCGAAATATTCTTTTATTCTTTAGATATTTTTTCTCTTAGTGTATTTTCACTCAGAATTGAAGATTGAATCTATATTTATATTTGTATATTTTGTATATTTTGTATTTTTTGTATATTTTGTATATTTTATATGTATATTTTGTTTTAATACGGTTTAAGTACTTTTTTCTCATAACGTAACCATTGGTCCAGTAAGGGATCTGATTTTTTAGTAATTTCTAGAAGCTAACAAGTAAACCTACTTAAAAGTTACACTCTGATTTCTTTCTAATTTGGCATGAATGTACAACAAATATTTAGGTTATATTTTTTCATTTTGGCCCGCTTTAAGTCTCACGGGCAGTTTATCGCTTTTTAATGTTCTCACTCCTATCATCAAGTGCAACAAAAATGCACAAGAAATAAAATTGAATACAAGATATAGTTAAATAATTTTAACAAAATCGGCATAGCTGAGACACGAACCATTTTAAATTTCTTTAGCAGAGATTCCAATCGAAATATTTCAAATCTGTGTTAAATTAGTCAAAAGTGATTTTCGGCCAAACCGAAATCAAGCAATTTTAATTACAATTTTAAGAAAATCGGCATAGCTGAGACACGAACCATTCTAAATCTCTTTAATCGAGATTCCAACCGAAATATTTTAATTCTGCGCTAAATTAATCAAAAATGGTTTGAATTTCGGTCAAACCAAAATGCAAAAATTTTAACAAAATCGGCAATTTTAATTACAATTTTAATAAAATCGGCATAGCTGAGACATGAATCATTCTAAATTTCTTTAGTCAAGATTCCAACCAAAATATTTAAAATCTGTGCTAAATTAGTGAAAAATGATTCGAATCTCAGCCAAATCGAGAAATTATTTATATAAATAATTTTTTTTCCACTTTTTATATGTTTTGTTTAAACATTTTATTATTTATACAAATTTTACACATTTGACTTTATATTCATAATCAGCAAGTCAAAAACGTCTATATCTTTTATTCTTTCTCTTGTAAGTTTTCTCATTGGACTATCGGTTGTGTTCTGAAATGCATCAGAAAAAAGAGTATTCACACCATTACTGAAGCCAAATGCGATTCTCTCTATACTGAGAGAAAAAATGGTTGATCCAACTAAAATTATAATTATTTTTAGTCCTAACCATATTCTTTGGCTATTCTCACAAAGAAATTGGCAATAGTAACATAAAGTTATTAAGCCATTAATTAGTTGAGTTCAACAGATGATTCGTAGCAGCTGTCACTAACATCATAGCTATCACTAACATCATAGTAAAATTTAATTTAAGAAATGATTTAATTTAAGAAATTTAACTTAAGAAATGATTTTTTTTTATATCCATAATTTGTAGTAATTATTTCTCCACGTAATCACAGCTACAAACACTTTTTAGTAGATATAGACGACTGAAGCATTCGCTTATATAAGTCAGAAAGAACTCTAAGCCTGAATGAATGAAACATTCGCGATTTCGAGCAGCAGTATTTTCATTATTGCTTCGAGTAAAAATACTGCCGTTTTTCGCTCGCTTTGATTCCTTTTTGAGAAATTTATAGAGGAAGCAGCGAAGAACGGGGAAGAGGAAAATTATCGAGCAACGATTCGAGTAAACATCAAGTCGTCGGGGGGACATTTGACAGAGATCTCCGGTTGGGAGATATCCCGCGGAGAAAGAACGTTAATTAATCAACGACGCGATCGTTCAAAAGTTAATCAATCTACGGCGGGGCAAATGAGAATAAGTTCCTAAACGCCCCGTGCGTTCGGTGCGCAATTGACTGAGACTTCCCTCGGTCGAGTCAGCCGGATCTTTTTTCCACTTCCTGTGGGCGCGCTGAGAGATGCGATAAAATACACGGCGTAATTCCCGTCGTCGAACTATCGGCGGCGTCACGATCGGTGTGTAATTAAGCCGCTAATTAGCTGAGTT